TGTTCATGTGGGCTGTAGCTCGCTGCTTGCAGGCAGCCTTTCGTTGTGTATTGGAGAACAATGTTTAACGCCACGTGCCGAAATCACTACTACTGCTGCTGCTGCTAATGCCGGCGACCGGACACCACCACACACGGTGATTGGAACTGAATCCGATCAGTGGTTGAGACCAGCCTTGATAGCTAACTGCTTGCGTGGAGCCTTCCGTTGTGTACTGAAGAACACCACCACTCACCACACGGTGATTGAACAAACACCGTTTGGTGAAACCGGTTGGAATTCAACTTTGACGTTAAGGAAATCGCTTTTCGCAGGCAATCGGTGATAATTTTAACTATCAATGAAAAAAAGGGTTGTTTTCGCTTGGTGAGGTAAAGTTTGCATTTTTCCATATAACGGTGACCCACCCTAGTATATATAGTATGTTATGTTATTGCCTGGCTGACCTTGAAAAGAAAGTCTTTTAAAGTGAGTTGTTACTCATGGTTAAATCAATTGATTCGCAATATGCACAATAGCAAGACGTCATTCTATTTAATTGTTCATTTTTGGCATAGTATCTTCATTGGTATTGGTACTGGTATTGGTATTGGTATATGTTTCTATTCTCTTGTGAGCAAGTGAGGTCCAAAATATCAATATTTTCCTAAACCTCTGGACTGTTTATTTTTTGCGAAATAACATCGCTTATGAATGCTATTGAGAACTCTCTTCGCTTTTTGAGCACATCTAAATTTATTGACATACATCGTGACTCATAAGATGGACGCGGAAAATTCGTCCAACTTAACTTCATTAGAGCAAACAACAAGAACTGCTTTTGAACAGATTCAATGCGGTTTACATGTGTATGATGATATGGAGCCTTTACAACGTTACAATCCTGCAGAAGAGGCCTCACATATGCTGCGTACAGTGCTTTCATTGTGTAAGGATCATTAAAGTGCATACTTATTCATTTGATAAACCCGTTTGAATAGTAACTCTTTGTTGATACTAGAACAATCAGGATATCGGGAAGGTCATTTTTGTGAAACTACGTTACATTTGGTGTTAGCAAAGTGGAAAGACAACTTGGAGCGTAAAAATACAACTGTTGCTGTTTTTTTGGATCTGAAACGCGCTTTTGAAACAATTGCTAAGCCCTTATTGTTAAGTACAATCAAGCGCTTATGAATTATGAGTACTGCATATAAATGGTTTGACAGCTATTTATCTGACAGATGTCAGCTCCGGAGATCGACCAGCGTCTGGCTGAAAATCTCCTTAATAAAGACAACCAACCAACCAACCTGACAGATATCAACAAACTGGTTTTAATGATTCTATTGCCAGTTCCGTAGGGAATAATATTGGAGTGCCCAGGGAAGTGTATTAGGGCCCCTGTTATTTATTATGTATATTAATGACTTACGACGTATTTTTCGATTTTGCGACTTTAATCTTTTTTGCAGATGATACTGTGCTACTCATTGCAGTTCAGCTTCGAACCTGTTCGGATACGGTTGTGTATAAGTTTATTTCTGTTTTGTGCGTGCGTTCGCTGATTTTGCCAGATTAGCGCTGGCACTCTGCCTCCCGGACGGTTATACGTGTGTGATTGGTGGTTTTCTCGCTTTCCGAGAAGTTTTGGAATCGAAAAAGAAAAAGTGATGCATCATGTTTGCAGGCATCAGAAGAAGTGTCGCTATCTGCGTTGTTTGTTTTTTTGTTGTTGTTTTTTTTTTGTTGTTGTTTTTGTTGTTGTTGTTGTTGTTTTTTTTTGTTTTTTTTTCTTCGCTTGTGCTCCCGGTACAGAAATTTGTGGCGTCGCGTGTGATAGTTTTTGATTTCAGTTTGTTTACGCGTTGTATGATTTTGTGAGCGGTCGCTTCGTGTTCGCGTCATGGAGCAATCGACTACATTCGACCAGAGGATTGATCCCCGTAGGGCGGGTCTATGATCGGAGCTACTACACCAAGCGTGACATAGCTGCTTGCAAGGGATTCAGTTGGACTGATTTGGTGAGATTGTTCCATTTTTCTACTTTTGTCTATTTAAACTTAATTTCTATGAATGCGTATTGTTTGGAATCATTTGATTCGGATGAGACTCTTAACTTTTATTTGTTTACATTGTGTTTCAATTGGTATTCTTAAGAACTTCATAAAATAAGGTTTCAATATTTAAATTGAGCAGATCGACTAGCCTGGTGGCTGCCGCTTTTGCTTACTGAGTAGAAGACCGTCGGGGATCCACATTGTAAAGATTCCCTATTTTCAGCTTTTTTACAGGCTGGAGTTGTTGTTTGAACCATTTAGTTTATCAATTTAATTTATCTGTATAACAATTATTCACAAGCATTCTTCCAGGTCAATTCAAGAATAGTTTGATGATGATAAATCTTCCTAATATTCACATTACAGTTATGACCCGATCCTGTCAATCTCTCCGCGCATCAGACTGTTATTTTTCAATAATTCCACATAATTGTAATTTCATACCTTCCTCCTTCAAGATGAATGTTTAAGATACGCATACTTTGCTAGCTGACAAAATGGGGTCATTGCTGTATAATTATTCTCTTTTTGCAGCCTTCATTCAGACTGGATCTATTGATTTAAATTATTTGAGTTTTCTTCCAGCTCTTTGATGACGGAACATCACTAGATTTATACTGTAATGATTCACTCTTACAGCTTTCACCCTGGTTTTGTCTGTTGATTTGATTTGTTTGAATTGGTTTTCAGCTCTTTGGTGTTGGCAGTCGCGGGCGATCAATTTTGCTCATGCTCATGCTCTATGTTCATTTTCAGCATTTCGATGATGGAACGTCTTCAGATTTATATTATAAGGGGGCTTATTACGGATGTCACATCACGGTGAAAAGTTGTCACTTGTCGTCACGGTGAAGTGATTCACATTTGATTTGTACGGTAATCACGGCTCTTATTCTGAGTATCACCAACAATCAATACGAAACTAACGATTTTAAATTGGCTCACCACTTTAGTAGCCTATTGGTCCCAAGCAAACGATTAACGTCCCCTATTCTAGTCGAAATTCTAGTACTACGCAATGTTTGTTTTGATTCGCTATGAAAGTTTGACAGATAAAATGAGGGGTTATTGGTTTTTCCTATGTTTCGAGGGGTGATTCGACAAGCTTGGGACCGAAGATAGTACCAGAGGTGAGCCAAAAAGTTGAGCACGTTTCTTCGGGACCTACTTGTCTTAGAGTTACCTCTATGGTATCACTTTCTTATCACCGTGTAGTGACACCCGTAATAAGGCCCAATGATACACCATTTGGTTTTGGCTTCGGGCAAATCCAAGTATAATGCATGATAACACTGATTCATTTAAAACCATGGTCGCATCACTTATCAAGGTGAATCCTGATCCAACGAACCCAACTTACTAACAAAATCTCCTTTTCTGTGTCTTTTGTTGGAAATTTCAGGGTTACATCTTCCTTATTGGGAGCTGAGGAGACATAGAGCTGCATCATATTGTATGTAAAATAATTATTATTTTCATTGCGGAATACCAGTTTTTTTATCCATATAAATGTATTTTCATTATTACGTATTTTAATGTTCTGATATATTTCATTTCTCCATTACATATGTTTACTATATATATAAATAAATACTGGGTTGGGAGGGAGCATCAGGGTATCATTTGACCTGAAACTGGACGATTGGAGTGATATGACAACCGGAGTCTAGGAGGGAATAAACACTATCATTTTCTTTATCCTACCGATTCGATTGTGATGGTGTGAATTCTACTCCAACAGTTTCAGTGAGATTGACGCGCCCTTCTTAACAAACCATCCTGTAGGAAGCTTAATGAGTATTGCGAATTGCGTTATTCGATTTGTTGGATCGTATCGTTGGAAGGAGATTCTTAAATTCCCGTGGATTTCGCGTAAGTGTCTCTGCTTACGGGTCCACCCCACCGTTTTTGGCCCTTCATACAGCGATATTGTGAATTCAGATCGGTAGCTCAAATTGATCTTGCTATTAAGTGGAGCTGCATACAAGACAAGATCTTCGAAGGGATGGTGGCTACCTTACATACATACATGATACTGTGCTACTCATTGCAGCTAAGGATTTAGAAGATCCGTCTCACACTTGAATGAAGATGTTTAATCTCTAAGTAGGTGGTTGAAGTGTAGGCAGTTGACATTGAATACAAGTAAATCTGAATTCATGGTAATTTCGCAGAATTTAGTAAATGATATCGTCTCCGTTGTAATTGATGATCAGACTATTGATTTCGTTCGGGAGATTTAAAACTAAGCGTGATTATTGATGACAAATTTATGTTCTACTCTCACATCGACAATGTCACCAAGAAAATTGCCAAGAAGTATGAAATTCCTTGTCGATTTCCAGTAAAATTCAGCTTTACAAATCAATCATCTCTCATCATCTAAACTTTTGCCCTTCCATTTTTATTTCTTAACGGTGCCGGTGGTGTAGTGGTAAGCGTGATTACCTCTCACCCCAGCAGGCCTGGGTTCAATCCCAGTCGGCGCCGCCGGGCTGTTCTTGAGGCATAACATCTCTGATCACGCCTTCCTTCGGATGGGAAGTAAAGCCGTTGGTCCCCGGTTGATGAGTTGATGGGTCGATAGGTAGGGTCCAGGTGTGGGAGCTGCCTTCCTGGCACGTCAGTAGCCTTGGTGCTCAGCACGGAAAACAAAATCGACAGAAAAAACAAACCAAAGAAAAAAAAAATTATTTCTTGACAATCAAACACAAATATCGAGATTACAGCGCATGCAGAATAAAATAATGCGTTAGATTTTGAGATGTAATAGATTCACTTCCTCAACTTTGATGCTAGACGCTTTACGATGGTTTTCAGTGAAGCAAAGAATAGTATATTTGACTATGTTGTACATTTTTAAAGTAGGTAACGCAGTTGACAGCTAATCCCCGTGCGTGAAATACGTGTTTCTTTTATCCGTCTCGTTATCAGGTTACAAGCTAATGAGTTTTCTATCAGATGGGTACTAAACGTGAGAACACCTTGGTAGTAGACTTTAGTGTGTTGCCGAAGCGACCAGATGCATCTGCCGTACAGAAATTCATGTACGGTGAGTTGAAACTGGACATAGCGGACGCCTTAAACATCCAGTTTCACAATGTTAGAAACTGTGCCTACGTCGAGATGGTAGATGCAGCAACAGCCAAGCGCTACTTTGCATCACACCATCTACAACACACTATGCAGTGCGAGAAAAAAGATTACAAAATTCCCGTGTTCGTCGAAGACGAAGCCGTTAACGTGAGAATCCATGATCTCCCTCCGAAAACACCTAACAAGGTGATTAAAGAAAGTATGCGACCATACGGTACTATTCTTTCCATCAGCATAGAAATGTGGAAGAACTATTTTCCCGGCATCTACAATGGAGTACGTGTAGTACGGATGAAGCTCAAACAACTCATCTCTTCCTATCTGACGATCGACGGTGAGACAACATTGATTACATATCGCAATCAAGCAAAAACCTGTAGGATCTGTGGACAAAAGGCTCATCCCCGACAAAAGTGTAATAGCTCTACATCACGCATTACTGTCAATGACCCTACAGACGCAGAAAAGGTTACAAACGATGAAAACAGCGAACAAACATTACCCAAGTAACAATTTTGGTTTTATGAGGGTTCTGTAGACCATGAATTAGGGTTGTAGAATGCTTTAAAACCTCTATAAAACATGCAATGTTACTTGGGTTACTCGATACCAATCAAACCCAATCTACAATATGCGAAACCAGCAAAAACACCCAGCACCAACACTCCGATGGAAACAATAGCGCACAAGAATCGACGGATAGTGAATTGGATGAATTTCTAACCGTCACTAACAAACGAAGGCTGTCAACGAAACATAAACACAACAATGCGAAACGATTTGTTACGAACCAGGGTTGCCAGAATGATGAATCAGCAGGAAATTAAAATTCGATGGAAGAAAAAGAAGACGAATTGTCAGTTCCGGACTCACCAGTCAAGACGAGGAGCAAAAATAAGCAGCTGGGTAGAAATTGAAAAAAAAAATTAATTTGAATTAACATTGCATTCCACACGTTAAAGCTGTCTTTATAACAGCAAGGGTAAATGTTGACTTCGGCACCCATTGACTGTTTTCGGCAACCAAAATTTAAACGATAATTTCACTATGTTTTCCCATCAACACACTTCCCTGAATGTATTCAAACGATTCTTTAGTCTTTCAGCTTCAATCTGATTATATTTGTACGACCGAGCAATCCTATTATGCCAGATTTTTCTTCAAATGAAGTATACGCACTACAAAATGGGGCTGATTTCGAGTTGCCGATAATAGAACAGCTGGTTAACACGCAGTTCTAATGGGAAGGTTGTCGAAGAAAAAGAGGCTGCCGACAATAGTCACACTCACCTGAGAAGTTTGGAGCGTTGTAAAATCGCTTTCAAACCGGTTTGAAAAATTCTGTCGATTGGAATGGATAGAGAAGCAAGCAGCAGATGAATGTTAACAAACAGACACGTGATATATGTGCGTAACGCTGACAAAATGCTAATAGAAGTGCGGATGCTGCTTAGATTGACGAGAATACGTAAATTCCCCTATCTAATGAATTTATTTAAATGAATTGACAAATTATGTATCTTGACGAAGTTTGTAACGGATTATTCTGTATGGATAGTAGTCATAACGACTTTTCAACAATTATTGTACCACTGCAAAAACTATTTTGGCTTTGGATTTTTGATATTTGATGTAATAGTAATAATTTAAAAGATATGGACGACTGAATTCAACATTCGATTTAAAAAAAAGCAAGAGGTTATATCCAAGACATGACTGTAGATTTAATGAGGATTACGTGCTTGTATCAATATTCGGTGACTGTGTTAGGGAAACTACTTTTCCCATGAAAATGCCTCTTTTTATGATGACAAAATTACGGCTTTTCGTGCAAAAAACGCATTGAATTTTTGGTTTTTTCAACAGATATTAAAAACGAAAATTTGATTGGAGGAATTTCTTGCTAAAATTTTCCATTCGCGAGATATTCGCGATCGAAATATTTTTGCTTTTTTTCTAGGGTCCTGGAGAAAACCTTACCAGTGACGCTCTTGGCATGGATGGCCCACAGCGGCTTATGACGAGCAACTGAATCCGGTCAGTAGGGGTGAGGCTTCTTCCTCCTTCTTCGGTGAATATAGGGCTCTTGAGGGCAACCTTGATAGCTGGCTGCTTGCGGAGAGCCTTTCGTTGTCTACTGGAGAAAAATGTACAACGCCACGCACCAAAATCACTGACTTCTGTTGCTGCTAGTGACGACTAACCGGACACCACCACACACGGTGATTGAATAAGCACCGTTTGGCGAGACCGGATGGAATTCGATTTTGAAATCTGTGTTAATGCGCTTTTTGGAGGCAACCGGTGATAATTATGATCACCGTTGCAACAGTTGGAGATTTGTGTAATCTTCAATAGTGTTCTATTGAAAATTGATAAAGTGTTCATTTTAGCAGATTTGTAGAAATTTTTTCCAATTGATTGGCTTGTTGTCCATCCACTATTGACAGAGTTATAAGTGGCCAAAATCTGACAACTTTTCGTAATGGGGTCGACTTTTTTATGAAATGAAACTGCACCCCCAATATGTTGCCGAAAGACGTAGTCCTACGTCAAAATGCAACTTTGAAGCTTATTTGGTAGATACCTTGAGTAAGTAATAAGTTTTCTGGCTGAATGTTGGGGGTTCGTAGGCATTCCTGACAATTATGGTAGCATCAGATTGAGGGGTTGCTAGTGTATAGTATGCTTTGTTGTAACTCTTGATCGCTTGTAATACTTTTTCACGTTTATATCGCTGTGAAGCAACTGTGAACTCTAGAGAGAATTTATATCTGTAACTATAGGGGTAAGAGGTGGGACCATCATCATCATTCGAGTTTTCAACCATTCGTTGAAGAGTTAAATTCGGAATATTATCATCATAAAATGCAATCACGTGGCAGAATCACAAACAACTGCCAAGATGTATAATGGCTGATCATTGTTGCACGTACCATCCTACGGACTTATGCATACATACAGTTCCTGTGTTACGGAGAGTATCAGTGTTTAATATGAAGCTTCTTGTGGTTGTTACAGTTGCGGTTATCATCTCCACCACCGTTATGGTAAATGGTGACAATTGCCCCGGTAAGTTTAACCAGATGAATAATATGCTCGCCGAAAAGTAGTTCTTCGTTTACATTTACTTTTATCAATTTTTAACAGAAAACTGCACAGAACCCCATGAAGTGTTCTCGACCTGTGCTCCGGTTTGTCCCGAAACATGTAAAAACCGTGGGGATTATCGCTGCGATTCCTGCCGTGCAGGATGTGCTAGCGAAAACTCATATGTACGGAACGACTCTGGAATTTGTGTTTTGCCGTGTGATTGCTAAAAGTTTGAAGTTGATGAAAGATAAATTTGGTCAATAATTATGGATTTAAATGATGTAGGAAATATAATAAAAACAAAGTGTAGCAACTTTTCCAAACTTATCAATTGAGTTGGCTACCAGTCATCAGTTAATGTTGAATATTTTGTTCAATTTCCTTGACACTGTACTTCATTGAACAAATCAAGCTTAAGTTTATCAATGCAATTTAAGGTACCAGTAAATATGCCATAATTATGTGTATTATAGTCAAGGTATACCCCCTGTCTCAAATATTGCATTGAATTATATATTGACTCCATTCCAAATTAAAGCTAAATGACTAATCGATTTCACTCAACTCGATCCCCAATATACCGCAACAACATCACCGAACCGCCAAGGTCCGCGAGCGCGCACACGCACACGGAAAGGTAAACTAGAATCCACTCATTGGGCAATCGCCAATTCGTTACCATCCATACCACACATCTCATGCGTGCACACAAGGGCCATCGGACAGGGTCGCATTTTTATCACCATCAGCAGCAGCGAACAGCTCAGAAGCACAAGCAGAAAAACAGTCACCACCATAAGAGAACTACACCGGTTTAGCGAGCTGTCAACCCTTACCGTATAGTAGAGCAGTTGGTAGTAGCTCACCGTAGTGGCTTCGTCCTTCATTGGCCCTTCCTATATCGGCATAGGTTGGTAGGTATCTTTTGGTTGGCATTTGCATTTAAATTGCGTAAAGCTTGCGTCTTTTTTCGCTGCTACCAATTTATATTCGCCGCCTATACTGGGCCCTAATGCTCAAAGTAGCATGCACATGAATCCCCGGAATAGCGCGGTGGGTGGTGCGATTTCTCGGCTGTTTTCCAACCAATTGAGCTGATTTTCTGCAGGTGATAATGTTGTGATTGACTCTAATCACATAGGAAAAATCAGCTCCATTGGTTGGAGGACAGCCGAGAAATTGCGGTCGGTGAACGGTACCACCCACCGCGCTATTCAGAGGATTTCTGTATAGGCAATGCCGAATTAACGAAGACGACGACGGCGCCGTTTATTTTCGCGCCACCATGTGTAAACACAACACAACGCAACGAGCACGTTGCACCAATACTGCGCCAACTCTAGGTGGTTTTATGGCTTATCTCCCTTGAAAGCCAGTGCCCAGTTCTTGCTGCCCTTATTCGTACATGGCGACAATCTAACACGTTCTCTTGCTTTATTGGCACTTTTGAAGGCAAAAAGTGACACTTTAACCAACAGCGTATATTTATGGCACTGACCTAGATCCGCAAGCGGAGTGATCGAGTAGGGGGTTGAGGGGAGCGTCAATTAGCACCGATCGAAACGATGCGCAAAATCATTCTCAGTGTGCATTGATGAAGACTGCGTACGTGCAGGATTCCATCTTGAATTTTGCGCATCTGAACAGTACGCAGCCGTCAGAGTCCTCAAGGTTTGACCTCAGTGTGACCATTCGACCGCTTCGCGCATCCAAAGTGCCTGAGCCGCCGGCCGTCCTGACCTCAACTGTATATTTATGATTTGAAACTTTGCTCGTCGTTTTGATTGGCAAAAACAAACACACTACCGCTATACTCGCGCTCCAGCTGCTCATGCCTAGTGGCTTACACACAATTGTGAAAAAACAGCAAGTCTAGTAAATAAATTGGCTTCCGTTTCGAGAGTCGAGTTAGAGCTGAATTTCGGCGGCTCGTATAGCCTTCGCGCAATTTGCGAGGTCGTGCGAGCGGCGCAGTGGCATATTTACAGCGATTCATTTCATTCCGTTTGAGCTACACACAACCAACATATTTACATTGCTTGATGTTTTCGCATTTTTTCACAACAACTGTGGCGGCGTGACTGGCGAGTGATCGCGCTTAACTGCGGATGTCTCGGAATGATGGCGGGGTGGTTTGTTTTGATGCTTTGCACTCACAAAAGAAAAACTGTGCTTCTTGGCAATCTCAAGGAAGTGTTTCGAAATGTTCAATCAAGCGTTACTAGTTGGATGAACTAGTTTGATGCTTCTCGTTGCGAATGAGGAATGATTCCGATTAACCCTTATGAACTTGACGGGGTACCTGGGTGTGAAAATCAGTATAATGGATTGGAAGGAAATCACCCGGCGATGCAATCGATTAGCTTTTTGACTCGCCACTTCTGCAGTTGGAATTTAACCGATATCCTGTAAGCTGT